CTTTATGGGTGCAAAAAGCGGGGATTGTCGGATAGGTGGTTTTCTCACAATCGCAAGCGTTATCGTAAGACCGATTTTTATTTTTAAAACAGATTTGAATAGTTGACGTGGTGTACTACAAAACATATATTCTAGTTTTTCGATAAAATGTGTTGAAGTATGAGAAAAGCCCTTGTAAAGTTGACTAAGCACGGCCGAACTCTCAATCGGGGTCGAGTGGTGGGAGACAGTGGCAGCCGAGGAGAAAGGTATATAAGGTAGGTTTACAAGGGCTTTTCTCATACTTCAACACATTTGATCGAAAAACTAGAATATATATGTTTTGTAGTACACGGCGTCAACTATTCAAATCTTGTTTAAAAATAAAAATCGGTCTTGCGATAACACATACAGGCCCAATGGAAGAAAGCGCACTGAAAAATTCAGATTGCGATTGTGAGAAAACCACCTATCCGACAATCCCCGCTTTTTGCACACATAAAGAACACATCAATCACTACTTGTTTCCAAAAGGCCAGCGCTTCAGTTTAAAAAATGGCGGATGTACGAATTTTTGAAAAAAACGCTAAATTTTCCGATTTTAAATAATAAGAAAACGGAACAGAGTTTGGAGTGAAAAACATATACCTATTAATCTACGCATCCCCTTTTATGTAACTGCACAATCGGTTTGGTGTTGCTATTTTTGTCACACAAAAATGCTCTACTGATTGGCCTATAATTGATGTTACAAAAACAGAAAAGAAATTTCTGTAAATAGGTTTCTTTTAATTTATACATCTTCATTCGCGCTAAAACGTAACGTTGTTTGACAAGAACAATCCGAATAAATTGTCCCTATGCGAAGAGCTCTCGATTATTAACACTTCTACTATTTACTATCTACTATTTATAGGTTTTTTAATTCAAGTGTCTACCTCCTGAAACCAATTCATTGTGTTGTTGGTTGTCTACTTACAGTGCTCAATTTTTGCAAACTTGGCTTTTAATATATTAGATGTTGGAATTAATTCTGTCCTTTTATATTCGATCATTTATAACTTTAGTTTAAATAGAAATATTTAATCGTCACTTTGTTATTATATGGTAAATTACCAACCTTCTAGGATTCTGTATCCCTTATAGCATACAGTACTATGGAAACATACAAAAGATGTACATAATATATGTTGAATATATTCTACAATTAATATAATAATATTGTTATTTTGTTTTGCACAAGTGTATGTATCTTCTGGTTATGTTTAGAATGTATTTATTATATTGGCTAGTACTTATATGTATATACGAAGATTGGTACAATTACAAGTGTGCTTGATTATTAGAGCAATTGTAGAAGAATAACAATAAGCAACATTTGATGACTACTAAAGTTTGTATAGGTGCATTGTAATGACCAATCAGGTTGAAGATTTAGAACGTTTGTACTTTAATGCACCAAAATGACGAGTGAATATATCTGTTTAAAGTAGAGTATAGATAACTGATATAAATAACTGATTATATAGGAGTAGCAGTAATTTTTGTATTTCTTTATCTTCTTGATATAGAAAGGGCTAAACCCTTCTATCCATTTTGTACATTTAATTGCCTAACCTTAATTTAGTTGAAAATTACTTAATTAATTAATTAATTTGAAGTTTTCTATTATAATATTTATCTACCGAGTACAGTTTTAGCTAACAGTTGTTGAGATAAACTTTCATTCATTCAAGATGAACTATAATTTCATTTTATTATTCATTTTGCAATTTTTATTGAGCAAGTAACGGAGAACTGTGCTCATCTTTGGTATATCAATTTTTGTCAGTGACAAGGAAAAAACATTGCGTCGAATTCTTAAATTGTGTATGCATTTATGCTTCCTAGTTCTATTGTAAGACTTGTAGAACGTTTTAATATTGATTCTCAGGTTGTCATGAATAGGATTAGAGCAGAAAATGACGAATGTTGATTGAACATAAACGATTGAACATACAACTGGAGTATTATCAAGTTATTATTTCAACGATTTCATTAATAATTTAAAATTACTATCAGTAACTCATATTTGTTATTTTTCCGAACACAACCAGTCAGATGTATATCGACGCATATCGTTTCGAAGTAACCGGAAACCGCGCGGACAGATAATTATTTGCCGTAGAAAAGGAGGTTTCACTGCTACGATATATGTTCATATCACCGAAATGACTAAATCCTTTCGATAAAATCGCTATGACGTTCGTAACCGAGACCCACGTGCCGACAACGAAACGTTAATCCTCCGTTTGCTTTGACATAGATTTCACATCGGATTTAGAAATCATCTGGCGACTTTATAACAATTTGTGAGATCGACCCGGAACGATTGTCGCAACACAGCGAAACCTTAAAAGTGTCCGTGTGGCTTGTTATCTTCTACATCCATTGTTCGAGATCTACATTCAGTATCGTTTATTCTTTGACATTTTGTTCCTTTAAAATCGTCTCGTGTATCAAACCCACTCAGACAGTATACATATATACATTATCAACATTCAATATCGCTGTCCACACCAAAAGCTAATTCAAGCCAGAATTTTTAATTTTTAATTTTTAATTTTTGCATGGTTTGGTACATGTACAGTGGGTGTAGAAAGTATTCATACACCGATCAATTTCCAAAAAAACTATGTAAAATTGTAATTTATTAACTTATTTTGTATAAACAATGACATCAAAACCTACCGAACACGAATTGTCATTGTTCGTAATCTCGACGTTTGTAACAAAACAGACCGACATAATATAAAAAAAACGAAACAAATAATATTCACTGCTATATAGGTGGGCAACACACCGAAATTAAATGGAGCGTAATACAGTGAGTGTAGAAAGTATTCGTACACCGATCAATTTCCAAAAAAACTGTGTAAAATTGTAATTTATTAACTTATTTTTTATAAATAATGACATTCTACATGTTGTAGGAAATCTCTAGAATAGATAGATTACAATAAAAAAATAGGTATTCATGTAAGTTGTGAAATTAACAAGGAAAAAATAATTAATCGATAGAAATGTTGAAGCAATAAGTATTCGCACAACTGTTTAATTTTTAAAACTTCATTAAAAAAAAAAAGAAATTTACATCAATTTACAAGTATATAATACTTCCTTCATGGGATTTCCTTTTGATTTTATAATTATTGCAACTCTTTGAAGCGTTAAATTAACTAAGTTATTAGTTATTCGAAGTGGGATCTTTTTCAATTCCTCTATTAGAACCATTTTTAAAAGTACTTTCCTAGAAATTTGATGTTTTCTAATTCGTACGGAGCAATAAACTAATGTGTTTTTGTTATAAACTCTACTGTAAATGGTTCGTCATAAGAATCGTACAAATACTTATTGCTTTTATACTTTTACCCACTTTTCGCACATTTTTTGTTAATTTCACAAATTATATTAACTAGTAAATATTGTTTGGACTATATCTATCTTAGAGACTTCTGAGAACATGTACAATATCATTGATTATGAAAAAAGAAGTTAAGAAGCTACAATTTCTGTATAACATCACTGTATATCATTCTAGAAGAACCTGTTCTCGCATTGGAAGTAATATGTGTGATATTGGATGTAAACCATTAAAGTTGAGTGTTCCGTGAGAAGTGCATGACTTGCGTAAAGTGCGTTGACCTGATGCTGGAAATAGTATACGCGTTGCATGCATCTTTGCTGATAATATTAATGAGTATATAGATTGGAGACTTTCGTTTCTTAATATTACATTTAGAACTAAAAAATTGATACTATGCAGAATTTATCATTGCATAATCTGTATTCCTTCAGTCAATACAACGCATTTGTGTAAATCATGTCAATATAATTTCAATATATCATTTCTGAAATATGTTTCACAAAAAAAGTGATAAATAAAATAGTGTATTAAATGGAATTAAAATTAAATATTCAAAAATAATAAAAATACCCCAAATATTATATATCATCTGATTTCGAATTGACGTAGTTTTATGTTTAATTGTAATATCTATACTAACAAATAAAATTATTATATAAAAGAAAATAATTGTTTCACTGATGCTAACAATAGAAGAGGGATGTTATACTTTTAAAAGACGCGTCTCATAATCGGATAATCATTTAGCGTAGATAAATAAATCTATTAGTTTTATCTTGAAAAACTATCAATACATTTGTTTTTTCTAGAATTTTGATAACAAACGTTGTTTGCTATTTCACCTTCATCGATTTTAAATTCAAAATTTGTACTTGGACTTTCACCTGATGTCATTTTGAAGAACAACTTCATAATCATTTGAAGCAATTATTCCAAATAATTATAAAACAAAATAACGTGCTTTTGAAGTAATATTTTATTAGATTATGTTACTAATTAAACTGTACACTAAATATTAATTAAAGAAATATTATTTATTTGAAATGACTTCTCTTTATTACATTAATACAACATATGTCAGGCAAAGAGCAGCAAATCAAATCATACAGGAAAAACAAAACAACAACGTTTTTAATAAACAAACTGAAATATACAATTCGATACAATCGATCATACCAAGTATGAAATGATATTTTAATTTTGATATATTTCAATATACAGAGTGTCCCAAAAATGTTGTAACACCTTGAAAGAGGTGGTTCGGGAGGTGATTTGAAACAACTTTTTCCTTAGCGAAAATGTTGTCCGAGGCTTCGTTGAGAAAATATTAACGGAAAACAGTGACCAATCAGAGCGCGGCCACCTAGCGCGTAGGCTACTCCCACCGCGGGCGCTCCACCGGGATACGAGCGCTCTGATTGGTTGGGATTTTTTCTTAATATCTCCTCAACAAAGCCTCGGACAACATTTTCGCTAAGGAAAAAGTTGTTTTAAATCACCTCCCGAACCTCCCCTTTCAAGGTGTTAGAACATTTTTAGGACACCCTGTATTTCAAGTAATGTTATTTCATAGGTGTCCAGGTCCTGGTGTCTGGTGACGGAGTGCTCTGCACGGCTTTCCCGCGGAATCTTTTGGAAGACCATGCTTAGAGGTGGGGATGCACGTGCCATTGCTTTTGTTATTGAGATTGTCGTGATATCGAAGCTCGAGCCGCGTGCACGAGAATCGTGCATCTACGCACGCGTGACCATGTTGCGCGCAACCACGAGGGGGGATAACATGGCGGTGCTCGATCGCCGTTAGTCGATGTTCAGACACTGTCACTGGCGGATTTCGATCATCCCTCCGTACTGTCAGGATGAAGGATCGTTCTGACTGAAAGCTCGCATACCGTGCAGTTATCGTTCCACGATTGTATAACATGGTTTAATGGTCTGCTGAGATTAAATTCGAACAATTCCGTAACCTCGATCGCTAAATCGTTCGCAAATACGTGCGTTAAGTGACGTTTGTAGTGTGTTCTAATATCGATTTAAAACGCGATTGGGGATTTAACTAACGAGGAAATTCAAACGTTCGCATCACGAAAGTGATTCTGTAATTAATCGGTGCTGGACTGAATGATTGACAACGGAATCAGAGAATACTGATACCTGATTACGAGAAACATTTGTTTGGAAATCCTCGTGGCTACATCCCACGCTTAACCTGCAAACCGGTGAGTTCAAAAGTTAGTCAAAGTGATAATATCTATTGCGTTTGTCTGCACCAGAGATGGACGAAGTCTTATTCGAATAATAGATAATGAATAAGATAGATGATAATGTAGGAACTTATTCGTATGGAGTTTAATTATGATATGTTTATTGTAAAATATTTCTAGTTAGAAAAATTTAATTTCTAGTAAAAAAGACTTAAAAAATGCTCTAATAAAGGAATGAAAGAAGATGCCACCCCGAATAACATCGACATTTATGATAGTTAATTTAATGCCTAAAAGAGTTGCAGTAATTATAAAATCAAGAGGAAATCCCACGAAGTATTAATATTTATAAATTAATGTAAATTTCGTTTTTTTTTCTTAACGAAGTTTTAAAAATGTAACAGTTGTGCGAACACTTATTGCTTCAACATTTCTATCGATTAATTATTTTTTCCTTGTTAATTTCACAACTTACATAAATAGCTACTTCTTTTTGTAATCTATCTATTCTAGAGATTTCCTAGAACATGTAGAATGGCATTGTTTATAAAAAATAAGTTAATAAATTAGAATTTTACACAGTTTTTTTGGAAATTGATCGGTGTACGAATACTTTCTACACCCACTGTACATTATGTTAGAAATCATAGAAAAAGTGTATGTTGATCTCTATTAATACTTTACCGATAATTAATCTCTTAATGGACAAATTTCACATGAATTTTGTTTGCTCTGATCGATTACACACAAACCAAAGCAATTGTTACCTGTAAATCGATTTTAAACATCTACATCCACAACTGTTTTAATTATAACTTTTGTACATGTATTTTTTGTTCTACTTGTGCTTATTAGGCATTTAGTTTTTCCGCGAGGCTTCGTTCGGATGAATGTTGATTTAACTAAAACCATTAAAAAAAAAAATAGCATTCGATATAAGATAGTTTGTTCTCTAAATTGAAAAAATATCTACACACGTACAAAATTTTAACGAAATACATTGAGTAATTTTTGAATGTAGCTGATCAAACATTCAGACAGAAGAAGGAAGAAAAATTTGGAAAAAGTTGGTGACTTCGATATCGTTAAATAAAGTCTATAGAAAGAAAATTCCAAATTATGAGATAAAACTATAAGCAAGATCGGATTTAATTGACAATATTTACTTGGAAATTAATTAGAGAATACAAGTGTGCATTCCGTTCACAAACTTACACATCCATATACTTTTTTATTACAATATAGCATCGCTTACTGCCACAGCAAAATTAACGTGGTTCTGACTAATTGTGAGCACAGCTTTTGCAAATATAGAATGTTTATACGGATATCACCACACGTGGTGTACTTAAACACGTTTCCTATTACAAATGACGATTCTTCGCGCGACGATCATTTGTCAATATATTCCGAAACGTTAAGTAATCATTCTTTTACAATATACATTTGCAAATGTGGAGAATTCTCGACATTTGAACTTAATAATTCATGTGAGTACTTGTAACGATAGTTCGAAGTTAATTTATTGGAATTTAGATTTATGAACTAAATGTTTATAAATGTAAAAAGTGTTGAATGTGTAGTACGTATAGAACGATATACATACATAGAATTGTGGACGATAATGTTTCGGTTATTGTTGAACATAATAGTAATATTTACAGATTAAAATTTTGAAAAATTATAGATTATTAATTTAATTTAATTCTACCTTCCTTAAATTTGATTTTGTTTGTATAATAAAGAATATCTTAAGTAAAATAGACAATTATATTGCTGTATTTAAGCTTATACAAAAGTTTGTTGGCCATTAGAGGCTGACATCCGACTTTCAAAAAATTAATTTTTTTTAGAGAAAATGATAGTGTTTCGTCTGTAGTTGATTGTATTAGGTAGATCGAAAAGTAATGTCGTTTCTTTTACATTAAATTCAAACTTTCCAATAAATTTCTATCTTTAATTCATTATATAATCGCCCTCATTGTCAGCAGCCTTTTGTCACCTAGTGTGCAAATTTTCAATACCAGAAAAATCAATGAGCTGATAAATGATAAACAAGTATTTAAGATGGCAAAAACGACATTACTTTCCAGTTCACCTAATAGTAACAATAGTTTAGTTTGTAGTTCCATCATTAATTAAATGACAAAAATTGAAAAAATGACCAGCACCCGACATTGAGATATCTTAAATCCGTTTTTTTCCATGTGATTCAGGATCGTTTGTAGTTGAATAGTTTAAAAGTTATAAGCAATTGTTTATTCGCCTAAGAGGTGACTTGGTCAATTTTCAAGATTATGTACAACACTGTCGAACAAATTTTAATTTTTTTTTTTGACGTTCCTATTCCTACTAACCGATTAATTTTGTAGAATATCTTTATTTTATCTAAGAAATTTACATTTATCAATATAACAAGAGATTCTTATTAATAAATTTATCAAAACTATACAATTAATAACTTCTTTATGATCATTTTTTATTTTTTGATTAGAAACTTACTTCACTTAAGCATAACAATACCACTTGTTAAATGTACGCAAATTAGCACAGATCTGTTGTTGACGTAATCGATTTCTGACCATGATTTATTGCTACTATAATAAAAGAAAATGAATGTTTTCTTTGCACATTATGATTCTACATATCTAGAAAACTTCTACTAGGTTGTCCCGAAAGTTTCTTTCGCTTGTTGCACTCAATTATTTTGCGTGGCAGTGTTTATATAAATAGACAATCTAATTTCATTGATATCGATGTTGTAACAGTAATGGAGCAAACATATTGTGCATGTATTTTTCGGAAAAAAAGTTAATTTTTTTGAAAATGTTATATACGATCTAACACGCATATTATTCTTGATATTTTATATACTTTTGCATGCATAAACATTTTTATTTAGATTCATCAATATTTTCATCTATTCCACTGTAATTGCATGAGACTCCGCAATGTACTAATAACTTGTTAGAATACAAATCGGTCATATTGGATCCGTCATGACAAATTTTTGAATTCCGACATAAGACTCGTAATCAGCGATCACAAAAATCCTGGGGTACGAAATTTCATAAAAATCTGAAAAATCCTTTAATTTTGGCGAGGTTTTGAGGCCAAAATACTTCGCTGTGCGACGAACGAGCGTCCTGGAAGGCGAAGCCCACGCTTGATTTCACTTAAATACTTATTTTAGCCCAGACATGTAAAGTGTGTGCCGATATACATACGTGGTCGCACGTGGACGACATTTACACGTGGAAGACAACGAGGGCTGAAATGGGTACTTACGGGAAGGTCAACGAGAATTTCAATCCGGCGTGAACGATCTCTTTCTATCATTCGCCATGCCGATCCTGGCGTGTACATTTCACCGTTCGCTTATTTTCCGATACGAGTCAGTTATACAGTGGGTGTATAATGTATTCGTACACCGATCAATTTTCCAAAAAACTTTTGTGTGTAATTGTAGCTTCTCAACTTCTTTTTTTCGTAATCAATTATATTTTACATATTCTCGGAAGCCTCTAAGGTAGATATAATCCAAGAAACATTTATTAGTTAATATAATTTGTGAAATTAACAAAAAAATACGAAAAATGGGTAAAAGTATAGAAGCAATAAGTATTTGTACGATTTTTATGACGAACCATTTACAGTAGAGTTTGTAACGTAAACACATTAGTTTATGGCTCCGTGCGAATTAGAAAACATCAAATTTCCAGTAAAGTACTTTTAAACAGTTGTCCAAATACTTATTGCTTCAACATTTCTATCGATTAATTATTTTTTCCTTGTTAATTTCACAACTTACATGAATACCTATTTTTTTATTGTAATCTATCTATTCTAGAGATTTCCTACAACATGTAGAATGTCATTATTTATAAAAAATAAGTTAATAAATTACAATTTTACACAGTTTTTTTGGAAATTGATCGGTGTACGAATACTTTCTACACTCACTGTATTACGCTCCATTTAATTTCGGTGTGTTGCCCACCTATATAGCAGTGAATATTATTTGTTTCGTTTTTTTTATATTATGTCGGTCTGTTTTGTTACAAACGTCGAGATTACGAACAATGACAATTCTTGTTCGGTCGGTTTTGAAAATTTATTGTTTTAATGTTTTTGCCTACAGTAAGGGCGTGTTTCAGAAAGAATTCTAAACTTTATGTTTTTATACACGATTTGTGGCATCTAAAGAGGGTATCATCGTACGCCCGAGAAAAAGTTTTCTTTTTAATAATATTTATTTAATTATAACCTAAGTATATACTACATTATATACAAGAAATAAAATAAAGATTAGCTTTTTTTTTAATAACGAGAATAATAAATGACATATTGATCTATATAATTTGTTCATTATTACTAAATAATTTTTGTTGAAACATTTTTTAATACCTTCTTCCCTTGGGAGATATTTAACCGTTCCGCTTTAAACGAAGCAATTTGTATATCATTTTTTTTTAAATTAATTCTTATCTACTACTTGTCAGTATTATTTTTAATTTTAGTTCGCATGCAGTCTGTGTAAACATGTCTATTATACATATATGCATATGAGCGCACAATATGTAAACATATTTTCCCTATTAACATTTATTTAAATAACGGAAGTCGCAAAGATTTATGGTCTGATACTCGCGCTTATTGTTCATAGAAGATCGTTAAAACGCGGAATTAAAGAGGAAAAATCACTCGTAGCTATATTCCACAATTTTCTATTTTTAAACAGTCGATTCAATAGAGAATCTGTTTGCTGGTGTTTGTCATACATGTGCTAAATAGTAGGAAAATATTTTTTCCGGATTTTTTAAATAAAATAGTGATGCTGGACTCATTACATGACATCGATAAACTTTTAATCGGTGTTTTCAAGTATGGTTAGATTTGACATAAGAAACCCAAGCATTTTCATTTTTCGCATGATGTATATATGTGTATACTTTAAAAATACATACGGATTTTACGATGAATTGAGAACATTTCTTGCTACGTAGAATTTTGAT